TGCAAGAAAAGCGAAAATATTGTGAAGTCAACGCTGGGATGATTATTAGGCATCCGCTGTTGTGATAGATATCAGATTATGGAAAATAAGAACATGAATTCGTAATCCGCTTCCAGCTTTCAAAGAACATGCGCTCGATTCTCTTTGGCTTTGGGCCTGGTTGGCGTGGATAAAATTCTGGTTGTTCAATCGTAAAGATGAAGACAGTCAATAAACGATTTTTCTCACAGTTAACATTTTTATAATTATCATTTTATTAAGGTTATTTGACTGCTTTGGGTGACTATGGTAAAATAAAAATTAAATAAATTGCTTTTTAACCGTTTATTGCGAGCTATTCCTAGGAGTGCATATGCTAAACTCTCATAATACTCACTTTTACAAGTTCTGAACAAGAGTTTTTTCATATATAAGTCCCCTTAAGTTCGTTTCCTAATTAAAACTAAAAGTTAGATTGTTTAGCACTGTGGTTTTATATTGAAATAAGTGCAAATAACTTTTTTATCAAAACAGATCTTTCTTATCAAAGCAGATAATTGAATAAATTTCATTGATTAGTCACAGCATTATCGTCATTCACTTATAAATTTAATTAGCATTTTGAAATTAGTTCTGAATGCGAAACAAAGATTGAAAAATAAAAACCTTTCATTCACTGGCTATGTTTGTATACATTACCATCAACGTACGGAATGAAGGCATTTTCATAGAATGCCGTCTCATTGTATGAAATAGAAATGTCAAGAACTTCAGTTTTTGAGTGCTCAAAAATAGGCGCCCTTTTTCAAGACTTGCCAGACGTGAAGGAGAAAAGCAAACGTGATTTGAAAATTAAAACGCAAAGTTGCCAACGAAAAATATCAAATAAAGGGGAAAAACAAATGTAGAAAAACTGCGATAGCCGAGAATGAAACAGAAAATGAAGAAGAAGAAAAAAACCTAAAAAAGGAAAGCTGAAAAAACTACGGAAGACAGAGGAAGCAAATCAGGGCAAAATGCAATTCCACGCGCTATGGAAGATGTAGAGGAACTGAACGCTCAAGACATGTTGACTTTTATTGCTATATTCATGTTTTTGAAGCAAATAAAGACTTAATTTCATCAAGTACATCTTTCCACTGCAATTTCTTGGGATTATTCATTTAATATGAATATCTGTGCTTGAAGGAGGAAGGGATAATCTCACCAATTTTATCAACAACAACAACAAAAATTACTTTTAATTATTTTCAAACTCTTTTAAACGGTTTCCGCCGAGGCATATTGATCTTCATGCACTGAAAGTATTTTGATCTGTTTGAACACTAGCTAGATTATTAAGTCAACCAAGTGTAATTTGGTAGTTTTGAACTTAACTAATGCTACAACTTAAAGAGAAAAAAAATAATAAAGTTTTTAGCTTAAGATGAATTTCCATGTTAACTATAACTCCATAACCATAACATACCTTTTCCATGAACATACCTTTTTTTCGACGGATTCGGATTTCTGACCCCTAAAATATATGGGATAGCAGCAATCTGGAAAATATGATCCCTATGGTTTGGACCAGTTTTGGTCGGAAGAGCGCTCTAATGTTTAGACCTAATGTTAGACTAATGTGTATGCAAAAAGTTAATGTTAATTTGATTTTTTGCATATTTCGCTATATCTCAAGAACTTTTTAAGCGAATTTAAAAAAATTATGCACACAATTATAGAATTCCCTTATAATTTCACGATTCATAAGATAATTTCACGCAAAAAAATAATTTTATGTAAATATTTATTATTTTTTATTATTTTATTTAAGAATGGTCAAAAAATATTTAATTGCAGGGTATACAATTTTTTTGAATTATTTAAATGAATGTAATTATCTATGTCAAAATGTGAAGTTTGAGCGAAATCGTCAGAATAGTTCCCGGGAAATTGAATTTCAAGAAAGTCAGATACTTAAAATTCGATTTATAATTGCGTGAAAATTTTTTTCAAATTGCTTAAAAAGCTCTCGAGATACAACGAAATAGCAAAAAATAAAATTAACATTTAGAGGTTCAAACTTTGGAGCACTCTCTTGAGAAAACTATTCGGACTACATTTCCCAAATTGTGGCTACCTCCTATATTTTTGGAGTCAGAAATCCGAATTCGTCAAAAAAAAAAAAAAAGGTATGTTTGTTCAGAAAAAGTAAGTTTCTGTGTCTGATTCCGTAACGTAAAATATCGTCTGCCCTTATCTATTCGCATATTTGAAGTTACTCCCTTGAGCCATTAAGATTGAATCCTAGAACATGAAAATCCAATCATTACATCAAAAGTTATGAGTTTAACACTAATTAATGATTAGAGTCGTGGTGGCTCAGGGTATAGAGTGCTCGCCTCCCAATAAAGTGAACCGGGTTTTAATCCCGGAAATGGCTGATTGATTTGAATTCCGCACCCTGCTCGCACCCACCACAGTGCTGATGTGAAATATCCTCAGTGGTAGGCGGATCACGGGTTTGAGTCCCCTCACCATCAGGCTAACCGTGGCAGGTTTTGGTGGTTTTCCTCTCCATGTTATGCAAATGCAGGTTGGTTCCATGAAAAAGTTCATCACGAGGGCAAATTTCTCTCTGTTTTATTTCAAAAATGCAAGGCTCAAAATTACAATCCTGTATTGGGTTCAAAATAACAAGGCTACGGCGTTGAACATTAGTAGTCGTAAACCCAAAAATTGGGTCGGCTGTTCAACGACGGTTATAAAATAAAATAAAATAATTAATGATTAATGTTAAGTAATTTAGGATTAATAAGTAAACGATAACAGCTCGGTGATTTGAATTTCTTTTGTAATTTCATAAGTAACGATCATTGTTATGCGAGGCGATAGAGAAGGTCATTCATCTACCTGGTCATAAATCCTGTTCAGCAACCTTGGCACAACGGGGAGGAAAGTTGGTTGGAGTGTTTTTATATCGTCTGTTAAAAGTTTTATATTTCCTTGAGAAAAGCCAACACTCCCCCCACTAATATATGACAGAATCTGAAACATAAAATAATTTAATTAAATTTAACATAAAAAGTTATATAATTAAATAAATTTTCTATGCATATATTTCATATCTAACATCGATTTAAAACAAAAAATTTAATATTAAAAAATATCGCCAATTTTTTCAATTATGCTTTTTTTATGAATATACATTGACATATTTTCATACGAATGATAGTGTGGAAGACTAAAATTTCTGAATGTCAAAATTTTTCAGTGGATATCTGTGTTAGAGTAAAAAACCGAAATTTGTGAATGTCAACATTTTCCACTGGATATCGATGTTGGAGTAAAAAACCTAAATTAGTGAAAGCATACATTTTCCAGCGGATATCGGTGTTAGAGTAAAAAAGCTTAAAGTAGTGAATGTTAACATTTTTCAGTGGATATCAATGTTAGAATAAAGGTCAACAATTAGTGAATGTCAACATTTTCTAGTGGATATCGGTGTTAGAGTAAAAGATCAAAATCAGTGAATGTCAAATTGCTTCAGTGAATATCGGTGTTAGAGTAAACACTTAAATTAGTAAATGTTAACATTTTCCAGTGGATATGGAATTTACAGTTGAAGAGCAAAATTAATAAAGTGCCAATATATTTTAGAGGACATCGATGTTACTGAAAAAGACCGATATTTGGGATTGTAATTAATTTCCGGTGAATATCGATGTTACTGTGAAAGACCAAAATCAAACCCAAATATTAACATGTCGTACATGTTAATAAGTTGTATGTATAAGTTGTATAGTATAAATGTTGCACATCTTAATAAAAAAGACCAAAATTAAAAATCATTTGTTAGAAATTATTAATTGTCATTATTTCTCACTTTCTTTGCAAATTATGATAATTCAGAATATTGAGAAAAAAAAGGTGTAAAACAAAAGTCGTAAAAAAATATTATTTCTCATTCACATCAACAAATTTCGACATTTTAGTCTGGCATGTTAGTAAAAAAGTGGTATTTAATTTTTTTATAGCATTGACTGTAATGAATGTTAAGAGTCGACATTTGCCGGTGTAAATAAGAAATAATGATAACTTAAAAAAAATGTGACGTACGCGAAAATCGATATTTGCAAATTTCGGATTTTCACCGGGTAATATTGAAATTCCCTCAGTACTTTTTTCGAATGTCAGAAATACTTTTTAAATATTATATCTCACTCACACTGGCAACCGTTGACATTCAGCCTACACTGGTACATTGATTATCTATCCACGTTGAAAATCGACATGTTAATAAGAAAAAATTTTATTCGAAAAAAAAAGTTACGTACACGAAAATGACTATGTGATTGTGGATATTTGCAAGTTTTCGGACTTTCACGGCCAAATATCGAGACTCACTTGAACTGAATGTCAGAAACACTTTTTAAACATCATTATTTTTCACTTACAGTGGCAAATGTTGACATTCAGCCTACAAGTAATTTGATTTTTGTTCATTAAAATCATTATTTCTCATTTACATCAGAAGTCAATATCCAGCATGTGGTTGTAGCAAAAATTGAATAAGAGTTTAGTTAAATATCGATATTTCTCAATCGCATCAGCAATTAGTGGTGTTTTTCTATGTTGAAAAGAAATTATGTTTTTTAAAAAATGTCCCGTATTAGACTGATCATTAAGACACGGTTCCCAGCAGAACACCAAAGTCAAGCATCACTGGCTGCGGTCAGTAAGCGGGTAGGTGACGACTTTGATCAGCCTGCGTAGGGACCGAGGGCGCGTTAAACTGTACTTGACTTCGCGCGCAGGTCGCCGGGCTAGCAAAGCAGGGGGGGCTACCAAAGCATCCCCTCTGCAGAGGATCAAAATTTGCGTTGGCGTATTTTCGGATCATCCTCAGGGATGTTTCCCAGACCGCCGCCAATAGCCCATTTTGCAGCTCTAGTGCGACGTAAATGAAGTACCTACCCAAACAAAGAAAAATTGTGACGTACACGAAAATGACTATAATGTGGTAGTCAAAACTTGCAAAGATTTCGTATTTTCTATGGGGAATATCGAAATTAACTTAGTCCCTTTCCTAAATGTCAGAAATATTGGTTCAACCTCATCATTTCTGTTTAACACTGACGAGAGCAGATGTTTTAATAGCAAAATTCAATAAATAAAATTATCGAAATAAATATTTGTTCCATTCGCTTTAAGTCAGGATTATATCTTAAATGGCTTATGAAAATGTTAGAATAACTCTAGGTGAATAATTTTTACAAAATACTGAGCATTTAATCTCTTCATATGTTGCTCGTTTTAATCTCCAAATTTTTCATTTAAAAAATAATAGTAAGGTACATTTTTTAAAAATTTCTCGAAGATCGGAAATTGTATTGGAATTGTATAAAGACATATTGAATCAGTAGGTATTTCAAACAAATTAGAAAATAAAAAAAATATTAAATAATCAAAATGATGAACCTGAGTTATTCTTTCAAACATGTGAGCAAGTGGTAAATATGAAATTAAGACGTCTGATGAAGTAGGCGCGTTGACACCCTGAAACAATAATAAGAGTGTAAAAATCAAAACAAATTATTGCTAAAAATTATAAAAAAAAGTTCTATTCCATGAGCAGTTTTATGTGACAAAAATAAATCATACATACATATTGTTAAACATTTGTTTTCCTACTGATTTTTTTTTTATCAAATCACTATTTTGTTGTTAAAAAAGAAAAGATTTCTCTATTAATATTCTATTATTTTATAAATATTTTATAAAAAACATTTTTTTAAAAATATTCATTTTTTACATTTAAAAAAAAAGCTGCCGAACTCACCTTTCTTTGGGATTTAGTATTATTCCATTTAAATTTAATGTTAATATTCATTATAATATTTTTTATGAGTAGAAAAATATTTTTATACTCCTTTTTTACTAACTTTAATGATAAATTTTTCCGAATAAAAATTTGAAAGAAAATTTTT